TGTTGCCATTCAGCCGTGCCTCGTGTGCCGCCAAGACAACAGCAACATCAACATCAACATCAAAGGCAACAACAACAACAGAAAAGTAACAGAAACAGAAACAACACCATATAAATCAAGAAAATTGCTGACATTTAAGCACGTTTCGTTTCGTTTTGTTTGCCTGGCCTGGCCTGGTATTTGCACAGCAACAACAACTTGAGTATTTCCGTTAGCTGCCTTCTTTTTCCCCAAAAACATTTTTGCATATAGACAATATGTACGTATACGTATGTGTGTGTGTGTATGTGTGTATGTATTTGTGTGCCTGTAGTTGTTGTCGACGGCATCGTAATGATATTTAAATATTTACCCTCACCCACAGCGAGGGCTCGTACTCGTACTCGTATGTAGGTTAATCTGTATTTGCACTGCCATCGTCTATTGTATTTATTGTATAGTACGTACTCCTATCTAAAGGCATTGTAAGTGCGCGTGCATCCATATAATGCGTCATCTATGTATGTATAGTTTCCATAGAATTTCCATTTATATAGATTGAGCAATAAATCCATTTATCCATGCCGCCTTAGACAGGCATGCTTCAAATATTTCAATATTTTTCAAATTTAACGCATCACTGGTAACTTTGAGCTTCAATTGTTGCTGTAGAGGCTGATGTTGCTGCTGCGACAGTTGAATCACAAAAAATGACGCTGACAAAAATTATTTCGTGGCAGCGCGCGTCAAATGCCTGCCAAGTGGCATGCAAATTGCCAGCGCTCCGAATTGACTTTTAAAAGCTTGCAACCATTTTCCCTTACAAGCGCTGAAGTGAAATAAGCACCTTCACTGTAGCACTCGGACCACTTGGATTGCTGATCAGCGATCAGCTGCAACCTCGCTGAGGCGTTTTAATCACTTAGATCCGTGATCTTAAATACCAAATCTATATATATAGAATAAGAATATAACGATCACTTAATGACTAATTGTTTGTTGATCGAAACAGAATTAATGGAATTTCCATTGGTAATTATTAATTATTGCTGAAGTGTACAAGTAATAATGATAAATGAGCACAGCCAGTGAGGCCATTAGATTTTATTTCTACCTATGTATGCTTAGTATTAACGTACTCCGAATTGATATTTTGCACCGAGGTAGTTTACTATTGCTAGCACATAATACTGCATTCGATCTCTTGTTCATTAACAGCTCCTATTACTTTCTTAGTTTAGAAACTGGTGAGCAATAGGGCCTGTAATTGTCATTGATACGATCCATCAAGAACTAATGCAAATAGCTTTGAATTATTGTCATTAAATATTATGCAACAGACTGAATCGTTCATCTATATATTCATTCTACATATTATAAATGTCCTAATTAAATAAGTAAATAATTAAATATAATAATCAGTGTTGCTTGTATTGAAATATTTTGAATATTAATTTCAATTAAAACTTATGGCTTTAATATATTCAATCTATTGAGACTAATAGAAATTCCACTTATTAGTATAGTTGGAACAAATCAAATTATATTATGTAGGGTATATACATACAAGTATTCTGCGGAGCATTTTATTTTGCTATTTCGTTTTTGTCTTTCTATTTTCTAAGTTATGCAAAAATTGTGTTCGCTTGTACAACACTGGCACTTGGCTGCCTATAAATCAGCATAGATAGCTCGTTAGGTGTGTGGGTGTGTCTGTGTGTGTTTCTGTGAGTGTTTCTGTGTGTGTTTCTGTGTGTGTTTCTGTGTATTTTTGGCAGACACCATTCCCGAACTGAGTCGAGCCGAACGATCCGCATCCAAATCCAAATCGGTCGCCTGCTGTTCCCTTCATGCTAAGGCAAAGTCCGCGGAACAGTTGCATGGCTGCATTTTTGTCGAATGCATGTATTTGCAAAGATTTTTTTGTTTATTTTGTTACACAGTTGCGTTGAATAGAAAACATATATATACACATATATATATATATGTAGTATACACACATATATACAAACTTTTCAAGCGTGACTTGCTGTTGTCAGTTGTTGTTGTTGTTTCTGTTGCCTGCTGTGTGGCAATATCAAAATTTATTTTGTATATTTGCCACGTTTTGCACTCCTTTCTTCATCTTTTTTTGTTGCAGGCATTATTTTTGCTGCGGTTGCCGAGCGTTAGGTTTCGATACCATTTTTTATGCGCGTCACAGACCGCAGAGTGCGACAAGCAACAAAAGCGGCAGAACCAAAACAAAACAAAAACAAAAAAATCAAAAATAAAACAAGAAGCTAAAACGTCGCGCCATGCAACAAAATGCGGAAATTTATTGTGTTTTTGGCTTTTTAGGAAATCTTTTGGGCACTTAAATTGTTTATCGCTGTGATTAGCATGCTTGTGGTAACAGTTTTTGTTTTCGATTGGTTTTTTTTTTTGTATTCGGACCACAAACGCGTCAGGGTGGGGGGCTAAGTTCCACTTCAGGCTGGAGAGTGTGCGCTTTGCACAAGTTATGGCTTGTGAGGCATTTGCTTTTGACGCCTTTGTTGCATAATTTATGGCAACAGCAACACACACACAATCTGCTACCTCAAACAACAAGTTGTTGGCAGCCAACTTGAACTTGACAACGAAAAGCGCTTAACAACGTAGGCCTATTAAAAATGTTGTTAACGCCAGAGTGTTTAAGTATTTACGTGTTGTTGTTAAGTTTAATAACTCGAAATTGCGCTTACAATTAAAAGCCAGTAAATTGCTGTGGCCGCTTTGATTTGGCCGGCCATGCAAGACGTTGAAAAAATGCATGGCACGCAATTTTTGAGGAACGGTCGGGCTCGAGTTGAATAACCAACCAAATCATAAACAAAGGCCGCGTGAAGTGTAAACAAGTTTTGGCTGTTTTCAATTATTTTTTCTTTGACGATGGTTGCTTTTTGTCTTGCTAGCGTTGTAGGGCGCGGCAGCTGCTCCTCATTAAGCCAAATCCAAATAAATACAAGTAAATAACCTCTCACTTCTCTAACAACATTGACTAACAGTCGTCGGCGAATCGCCAGCATCCATCTTGCAATTGAAAGCTTTTCAATGTCAATGTCAAATCAAGACAATTTCAATAAAGCACCAAATATTTGCATGCCAACTGGCCGACCACACCTAAAAGTCTCTTGTGCAATATACGAGTAGTACGAGTATATATAGTATATACATACATATTAACAGTTTCTTTGAAATTGTGTATTTGTGCGTGTGCGGGTCGTAAAAACGCCAGCGCTCCAATTTCAAAAGGCACACGCTCTTTGCAATTAGATAACACTGACTGTCTGTCTTGTGCGCCTTGTAGTTGAAATTCAAATCTAAATATCATTTTCAAAGCTGCAACAACAACAACAACAAGTTGCAAAACCAACTGCAACGAAGCTGAACCAGGCATAAAGATTTGCTTTTGTTTTTGTTGTAACTTCTCCAACTTTTAAAGGCGTGTGCTGCGCAAAAGTTGCAACGACTACGACGCCGATGAAGTAATGAAATCGAACCAATAGACAGAGACAGAGCCAGTGAAAGAGAAAGAGAGATACACAGTTACAATATCTAGCCATGTATCTGGCCTAACGGCCTGGCTGCCTGAAAATGTAAGTAAACGTGGCAAAAACTACGTACTGTGGAATAACAACTCGAATTTAACAGTAACATACAAGTTCAGAGTAATATGAAATTCTATTTCTTTTTTCAAAATATCAGTTTCGAGAAATGTGTTCGCCCAAGTAACTTCCAAATAAAATGAACTCTATTACATTTAATCGTAATTGATGAAGAGTCGGAAAAATACATCTGTAGTCGGATTGAAAACATTCAGTAATTTGAAATGCTTTTTGTAAGTTGAAGTAAACTGTTATTATTACTAAATTATTATTATATACTATTATTACTTTTATTTTCCTGCTCTCGGAATTAAGAAACCAAAAATGAGTTCATGAGTTGGAAACGAATCGCAAATTTCGAGAGAGTGAAAGTGAGTTGAAAAATCGTTATTTATTGAGATAAACGAAAAGTTTCTGAAAACAGGCCCTATGAAGTTTAAACTAAATAGAAAACAGCCGATCGTTCATAGATTCTTTCTTCATAATAAATGTGAGACATTTCCCATAAACAGTCTCTCATCCGCCCACAACAACGAGCTTGTAGTTTTTATTGTCAGTCTCAACCAATCCTGTTTAGGGATTACTTAAAAATATGAATATTAAAAGATAGATTGAAATGATAAAAAAGCGATAATTCCTGAATGACTGGAGTATTGTTTTAATGTTTTAAATTGCAATGATTTTAGTTTCGTTTTCTATTTAAATCAAAGAACAAATCTTTTTGGTTACCGAAATCTGATGGGAAATGTGAATGATGCCTCAATATGTTGCATGCATTTTTTGCAATATGTATAAAGATTTTAGCTCCTTAGCCCATGGTGCAACAGCTTGCGAAAAGTAGCGATGGTAAGGCTGGAGTTGCAGGCGTTTTTGAAAAGTTGCCGCCACTTTGGTTTTACTCTTTTTTTTTTTTGATTACGTTTATGGTTTGAATTTGAAAACGAACTCATTTGCGTCGTCGTCGTTTTCCTTTTGGGTAAAAGTGGAGCAAATGAGTGATAGTTGATTTACTCGTTACACAAGCCTCAAACACGACGACGAGTGTGGACACCGCCGCCCCCCACCCTAGTCACCGATTTCCCATTCCGCACACTGCTCTCCCTTAAACACTTTGTGTTGGTTTTTGCCAACTTGTAGTAACACTCTTGGCACTTTTAACACTGCTTTGGGGTTTCGAGTGTCCTTCAATGCGCACGCTCGACATGCTCCAACAAATTAGAAAACAGTTGCAGCGCCCGCTCTGGGGGTTTGTCTTTTGGCATTCGATTGCGCAAGAGGAAAAGCTTTCGCTACATTTTCTGACATACATATGTTGTCTGTTTTCTGTGTTTATTGTCTCTTTTAACAAATACTTATGTACATATTTGGCATAACAATCTGATCAATACATACCGGCTCCGAATAATGCAACAAACACAATTATAAACTTCTTCATTGTGTGATTTTCTGTGATTTCGCGATAGAAGTTATTTCTATTTATTTATAGATTTCGTCGTTTATTTCTTAATTGAAGTTCTTTTTGGCGGCGAACCGTAACGTTTAACAAAACAACAATAATAACAACAAGTCTTGAATCAAGTGAACCAACCAAACGGGTAACACTTCAGAAATCTCAAAACTGTTTACAGACAAAAAGCGCTCTGACAACGAACCACTGGGACCGACGAAGACTGTGTGTGGCTGTCGCTGTTACGGGAGCTTTTTATACCGCTGCGCAGGCGCGCCAAGGCAGCGAAAATGGCGCAGCGTCGCAGTCGACGCCACTCAACGAACAATCCAGATAGATGGATCGACGGTTGGTTTTGGTTGGATAGACGTCGGCAGCTTTGAGAGGCGCATGCGCAGCCGGCAAACGTGGCAGCGCAGCCGCGTCCACTGACATTGCAACGAAGCTGCTGTCGCTGTCGCTGTTGCGGTCGCGGTCGCGATCGCTGTCCCATGGAACGGTACAATTTTGCAGCGTGTGGAGGCGGGTGGCGGGCAATCAGCTTTTTACATATTTACATTCACTGCTTCAGTCGGTGTGTGTGTGTGCCTCTATGTGTGTGTGTGTGTGTGTGTGTGTTGGCAATTGTAAGTGCGGCTTTTAACTGTATTTGCCTACATTGTTGTTGGCCAAACTATTTTCGTATGCAAGCGGCAAAGTGTCGGCTGTTGCCTGCGTCGCTGCTGCCATCAGCAGCGCTGTTGACGCCTGCGCCAGCCACTAAGCGTCGACCGCAACGCAAACGCTAACGTCAACGTCGACGCTGCCATTGTTGTGGCTCAAAGCATTTGTCAATTGAGTTGCTTTTTACTTTTTTCTTCACTTTACTGTGCTTTGCTTTGCTTCGCAGGCTGTGTGCATTTTTAGGCGGGGGCTGCAAATGGAATTTTTGTTTTTCCATCAATCTGTACATAGGTGAGTGTGTGTGTGTAGCTTTGTGTGTTTGTGTGTGTGGGCAAGGCAGCCAACTATCATCCATTTGTTGTCTCTTGACGACCCAGCTAATTATGGCTTGTGATTTTTGAAATTTCGGGGCACGGCACGAACTGTTAAGCCAAAAATCATAGTTGAACTTCACCTTATTGCTGCGCCATTTTGATTGCCTGCTTCTGTATTTGTGTTTGTGTGCTTCTAGGTGTGTGAGTGTGTCTGAGTCATGCGCTTGGTATTTGGCTGCCACATTGCGCATACGACATGTCTGCCCGCCCTGCTGTGCCTTTTTTTCTTTCAATATTTCGCCTCACTTTTAAAAGTTAATCAACTCAATTAACATGATTTCTTAATGTAAAAGCAATGTGATGGTCAACCGGTGTTCCAATGAAATGCAATTGAAACCGCGTGCAAGGTGTCTGCTCGACCCGAAAGACCATAAAGCCGGTAACCAGTAGACGAGTTTTCAATAAATGAAATGAGATATAAAATAATTCATAATAATTACAAATTGTGTTTTTTATTGCTGAATATATCAAATGTTTAATTAATTTCAGCTTCATTATGATAGGCTTATGTACATTTATAATAGTGTTTAATCTGAAGACATTTATTTCCACTATTCACTATGAACCGTACTAATAAAATTAAAATTAATCATTATGGATCCCACTACTCGGTTCGGAACAGGTTTGCTTTTTAAAACATTTGCTATAAAAAATATTGTCTATATTTACACATATTTACACTACACATGTACACATTTTTGTAGATATTTTAAAAATTTAATCATTATTATACATACTGGCATAGCAATCCCCAATTAAAACCTTTCTTAGATTACGCTTTGGCAGCGGCTTTTTGGATTAAAATGATACTCTATATTTTATTTATTGCATTATTTGTCAAATTGGTTATATCATCGACCATTTATCATATCTAATGCTCGACATTTGCATCCCGAACAGCCAGCAGACACCCTGTTGTGCAGTCTCCGCCGCTACATAAACAAATAGCTGGCATTTAAACTGGGCTGTGAACGCCGAGCCAAGAGTGTGGTGCGTGCGAGTAAAAGGTAGGCCAGCCAGTTGTAATGCAGTTCGGCTGGAGGGGGTCAGGAGGGAGGGGTGGGGGCTTGAATATAGTTGCTGCTATTAAAACTGACCCAGCTCGGCGGTCAACGGCGGCCACTCAACGGCGTTGAGAGTGGCGTGCGCGCAAAAAGTGTGCAATTAAATGCAAGAAAAATGATTCAAGGTTTCGGAATGCAGGAAGAATATGAAATTACTGCAGCGGCACGACATACCAAGTAAAGGAAACCAGTCAGAGGGAGTCGGCGAGACTGGGCAGGGACTGCATATGTGGCGAGAACAATTACAGCTGCTGCCAACGACTTATGCTGTAACTTGTCTGCCGCTTGCTGGAGTCTTGGAGTCGACTCTAGAAGACTTTCGGCGGCCAACAGCAGACAGCAACAGCTACAGAGCCCACAATGACGACAGATAGTCAGACAGATAGTGAGACAACGAACCAGTTTAGAAGTGCAAAAATGAAAATGAAAAAAAAAAAAAACACACGCTAGTAGTAATAATAATAACGACGGCAACGCCACAAACTAGCCCACCTTGTCAGTTATGCTTTCGCTTTCAATAGCCCCCAACGTTGGCAGCAGCAGCAGCAGCAGCCACACCAACAATAACAACATCAAGAAATACATGTGTTGTATATGTGTGGTTGTAAATAAATAAAAAGGCCAACAATCAATGTGCCTTACTGCCTCTATTGCTGCTGGATAGAAAAGCTGCAAAATAAAAGGCTATGCCGTGCATTATTTACGAGTAACTACAAAAGTTTTGGACGCATGCGCCTACTTGTTTTGTTTGTTATTTGTTTTTTTTTTTTTTTTTGTTTAGGGTTTGAAAACGTGTTTGCCATGCAGCTGTCTGGATGTCTCTGTCTGTGTCTGTGTCTGTTATACATTTTTCAAATCTCTGGCTGGCATTTGGGAAGTGCAACGAATGGATACACTCCCCAAAAAACCAACAGCTTCAGCTTCATATTCAAAATGGCCCATTGGCCCATATTCAAAATGGCCCAAGAGTGTGGTGCGTGCGAGTAAAAGGTAGGCCAGCCAGTTGTAATGCAGTTCGGCTGGAGGGGGTCAGGAGGGAGGGGTGGGGGCTTGAATATAGTTGCTGCTATTAAAACTGACCCAGCTCGGCGGTCAACGGCGGCCACTCAACGGCGTTGAGAGTGGCGTGCGCGCAAAAAGTGTGCAATTAAATGCAAGAAAAATGATTCAAGGTTTCGGAATGCAGGAAGAATATGAAATTACTGCAGCGGCACGACATACCAAGTAAAGGAAACCAGTCAGAGGGAGTCGGCGAGACTGGGCAGGGACTGCATATGTGGCGAGAACAATTACAGCTGCTGCCAACGACTTATGCTGTAACTTGTCTGCCGCTTGCTGGAGTCTTGGAGTCGACTCTAGAAGACTTTCGGCGGCCAACAGCAGACAGCAACAGCTACAGAGCCCACAATGACGACAGATAGTCAGACAGATAGTGAGACAACGAACCAGTTTAGAAGTGCAAAAATGAAAATGAAAAAAAAAAAAAACACACGCTAGTAGTAATAATAATAACGACGGCAACGCCACAAACTAGCCCACCTTGTCAGTTATGCTTTCGCTTTCAATAGCCCCCAACGTTGGCAGCAGCAGCAGCAGCAGCCACACCAACAATAACAACATCAAGAAATACATGTGTTGTATATGTGTGGTTGTAAATAAATAAAAAGGCCAACAATCAATGTGCCTTACTGCCTCTATTGCTGCTGGATAGAAAAGCTGCAAAATAAAAGGCTATGCCGTGCATTATTTACGAGTAACTACAAAAGTTTTGGACGCATGCGCCTACTTGTTTTGTTTGTTATTTGTTTTTTTTTTTTTTTTTGTTTAGGGTTTGAAAACGTGTTTGCCATGCAGCTGTCTGGATGTCTCTGTCTGTGTCTGTGTCTGTTATACATTTTTCAAATCTCTGGCTGGCATTTGGGAAGTGCAACGAATGGATACACTCCCCAAAAAACCAACAGCTTCAGCTTCATATTCAAAATGGCCCAGCCTGTGCCTGTAAGTCGGCGTCGTCGTCGAGGCATTTGCAATCAAATTGAATGCCAAATTATGCCAAAGTGGTTAGAGTCTTAAATTCTTTTGGCTCGTTGTGCCAAAGCACATTTGCCGTTAGTTAGCCAACTAACTGTACAACTTGTAATTTGTAGACAAGATATATTAAAAATATGTGAAAAATTTAAAAATTGCATCAGCAAGTCACTCAGACAGTTAGCTAGTCAGACGAAGCGTCTAACAGGCGGTGAAGCGGGTCGAGGCGGACTTAGGCGGGCGAGCTGGCGCTGGCGCTGCGGCAAGTCAAACACAAATTGTGAACGGTTTTAATTGTTGAGTTTTGTAGCCCATTTGTGGGTGGGTGCGCCGTCAGCGTCAGCATTGGCGTCAGCTTCGGCGGTGGCGTCGCTGTCTGTGCTCTTGTTGTTGTTGTTGCTGTTGGTGTTGGTGTAGCAGCCACGTCGTCACCGCATGTGCAACGCGGAAGAAAAGTTGTTTGTCCGTAGTAAATGCATGCCATTTGTATGCTATCTGATTCGTCGCACAAACACATACACACACAAACACACGCACACCTATGCTCATGTAAATGCCATGTGTGTGTGTGTGTGATCGATCAAAAGCTGCTACCTACCAACTGGTCTCTGACTACCTCGCTCATTTGGCCATTCAAGTTCTTAACTTAAATTTCAGTTATTTAGCAAGTGCATTTCGTTGTTGCGCATTTCGAACGGTAATTTGTCGTTAACTGTGGCTGGCGGGTTCGTGACTCGAATCTTTCGTTTCACCACTGGGTGGGGGCAAACCCGTTAGAACGGTTTTGTTTAATTCAATTAATTGAACAGTAAGCCGATTTGCCTGCATGCCGACTAAATGCAATAAAGCTGTTAACCTAGTTCTGTCATTTTTTGTTTTTTTTTTTGAAAATAGAAAGTTTCTAAAAATTGTTAATATGACAGGTGGAAAAACAGGACTCAGATTATACTAGCATTT